ACGTACAAGTGGCCGCCGGAGGAAGGCCAAGGGGAAACCGGTGCCTCGCCGAGGAACAAGGCTCCAGGAGTCCAACGCGTCCCTTCTGAAAAGGCTTCTTCGCCCCGTACAAGCGACCCCCTCGAGTTCGCTACTAACTGATTTGCCCATCGCTTACGGACGACTCTGGTATTCTACAACATTTTCAACGTTAAACCTACCGAGCGCTAAGAGTAACTCGCATGTGCTGCTTTACGACGACGGAAAGACTGAATTTATTTAGACCTTGCAGCATTGATTTTTTGATGATATATGTATTAGGGGGACCGGAAAGTGATGTCGTTTCTGCGCATGTCAGTATTCCATTTTTTTGGCATACTAATTTTTGTATACTAAGAATTTGCATACTACATGAAAAAAGGTTGTTGATAATGAGAGTGATTACATCATTGATTGAAAATAAAAACTAGTTAAAAATTTATCTGTTTGAATTTAATGTAAACAAACGACATAACTTTCCGGTCCCCCTAATATTTCTTTTACGATATAATATATGACATAATATACAGAGTGTCCCAAAATTATGGTACTTCCGGGAAATGAGGGGTCCCTGAGATCATTTGAAGTAACTTTTTCCTTTGCAAACATTTTTTGCGAGGCACCGTTCATGAGTTATTCACGAAAAACGCTGACCGATGAGAGATCGCTGACGCCCCGCCCTCGCGACCACTGCCGCTGCGTCAGCTGGACGGCGCGACGCGGCATCGGCCGCAGTCGCTCTCCGATTCGTCGGGGTTTTTCGTTAATAACTCGTAAACGAAGCCTCGGATTGCATTTTCGCTAAGGAAAAAGTTACTTGAAATTACCTCAGGAATCCCCCATTTCCGGATTGCGAGACATTTTTGGGACACCCTCTATATATGATAATTTTATAAACTATTATATTTTTATAATATTAATTAATATTATAATAATAATATTATATTAAAATCATAAAATAAAATTAATAATAAAATTATCATATATATATATGATGATATATTAATTTCTTTTCCTTATAATTTCAATAATCTAACACGAAACGTAAAACCGATCGTTTGAACGAATCGGTAGGTTTAGAGTGAAAAGCTGCAATATGAGACTGAAGATTGTCTTTTATGACGGGCAACATTATTGCATAACAACAATTGTCGTAGAACTGGAAGATGCGAATAGAGGCAAACAGTTGTAAAGTAATTTGGTAAATCTTTTCTCGGCGAGGAACAAAAAGAAGACGGCGCCTGTCCAGGTAGCCGGTCAGGTTGACATTACTCTGTTTACAATGACTGCGAAAAGGAAGCTCTTAGGTCAGACTCACAGAAATTGAAAAGGGACACTGTTGATACAAGAAATCAGGTATCGCTCGCTCCGTGACTCATCCCTTATTTCGGCGACTCGAATTGACAAGTACACTGAGGCAGTACTCGAAGCACTATACCTGGGAAGGAGGATCTCGAGGATTAACCTGAATGGTAATTGACGTGTCGTTAAACACGGGAAACTTGGGGGATACACATTGAAGCTACCGAGTATAATACTGCGCAACCCGTTGCGAAATAATATTAGGTCGACCGGAAAGTAAGCCCAGTTTCCTGTGCGGCATGTTATTCTTTTCTTCCGAGACGTAGATTCTTGTTTGCCATTATAATAAATGATTATGCCGTCGTTAGCAATCATCTCTATACTATTGTCCCCATTAATAACCTGTAATAAAATACAGGAATTACCACTTAGCTCCTGTCTTCGCAGAACTATCTTCTATTCATTACAATATGAACCGTCTTAACTGCCTCCTTTTGAGGATCAATCCATTACCATAAGCCTCGCCACTGTTTAACGTGCCTTACAATTTTGTCGTGACCCTACGATCCCCGTCGCGGATTCTAACGTGTTTATGATTCTCTTGCTAAGTTTTCAGACCCATTGTAGAGCATGAGAGTAGAGAAGAAATCCGATTTTTGCAAGTTCCTAGCAGCGGCGGCGGCATTTCCCCTAGTAATTCTATAGTTGACTAATTAATAACTTGTAATAAAATATAGGAATTACCGTTTAACTCCTGTCTTCATAGAACTATCTTCTATTCGTTACAATATGAACTGTCTTAACTGCTTCCTTTTGAGGATCAATCCTTTACCATAAGCCTCGCAACTGTTTAACGTGCCTTACAATTTTGTCGCGACTCTACGAACCCCGTCGCGGATTCTAACGCGTTTATGATTCTCTTGCTAAGTTTCCAGACCCATTATAGATCATGAGAGTAGAGGAGAAATCCAATTTTTGCGAGTTCCTAGCAGCGGCGGCGGCGGTGGCGGCATTTCCCCTAGTAATTCTATAGTTGACGCGGGGTATCGAATGCATCGAACAAATCTTTGTTTAATCTGGATTAGGTTAACCATGTTAGCGTGCGCTTGCGGCCTCCGTTTCCACGGAACAGAATCGCTATCAAATTTCTCCGCGAAGAGCGTGCGAAAGCCCCAGAAAAACACTCGAGACATTTAGCGCGCGCGTGGGAGGGAGATTTCTCCTTCTGGAGTCGCGCAGCTTCCGATCGACGGCGAGCCGACCACGTTGGAAAAGCGATGAAATCAAGGTGCGTGCTCGCGACGGGCCGATGCATGCCCGCGACGCGTGCAGTTTTCAACCCTTATCTCGATTAACGGTGAACCAACCGCAGCCCTACCCTAACGGTCGGCTAAAAATAGGCCTGCCGCGTTAATGTAATTACCGCGACGACCCATCAAATTGAACCATAGTTAATTGGATGATCCTTCGACCATGACTTATCACGCGGTCGCGATTAATCAAGAATACGAACGATCCGCCGGCGATTTATTCCCTGATACACGCGTTAACATATTGTATACAGCACCGTTTAGAAGTGTATCCGATCGCTGGACTGCGGATTTCATCATTGCGAGTCTGGTAAACACGTCGGAAGCGTACAAAAGAAGTCGTGTTACTTTCGAATAATTGAAATCATTCTCAGAAGCAACGTACGTTCCCGTTCCGATTCGCCTTTTCTTGCAACGGTCGGAAGTAGATTCGCATTTAGATCACGAAGATCCGCGGTGTAACGATTAATCGAGCTAATTGACGATGAATTAATTAGCGAATTCGTACGGGTCTCGGGCACCGCTGTCAAATCCGTTTAGCCTCGCCTCTAATGTGACTTCGAACACCTGGATCGTCATCCAAACCCAATCATTTTCACCTCGATCGGTGAAATATCACACCGCGGCTCGGTTTCGCTATTATAATATTAAGTTTGCGGGTGCTGGAGCAGAGGGCGGCCGTCAAGAAACGAAGCACGCAGTCCGCGGATAACGATCGCGCGAACTAACGAGATCGCGGAAGCGCCGTCTCGCGTCCCCGCAATCGTCGTCGTGAATTAATTGCGCCATTACTTGCGCACTCGCGCGAATTTCTGGGAGCCGGTTTCGCCGAATTGGAACGAAAGGGTCCCCGCCGCTCGAAAACCGGTCGGGATTCGTCGCGAGTTAATCCCGCGGCTTGCCATTGTCTGCGACGCTTTATCTGCCGTTTCGCTCTATTGTTCGTCGCTGTTGCGTTTTCTCGCCGCGCGCGTTTCTGCATTCGTCGCGATTTTCAAAGGGTACGTTCGTCGGCGGACGTTGAATACGGACAATTAGCGTCCAAAAACAATGCGAGTCACGTGCAGCGCCAGGTACACGTACATACGCCGCAGACGAGTATCTTGGAAACTGTCGCGGTCGCGAGTCTGCGATCACGTGCAGAAAATCATCGGAACTTTCTAGCGGACATGAGTTTGCTTTCGTATTGTTCTTCAATGAGACCCGAAGATCGTATCGCATTCGTTAAATTAATTTGTTGTCGAGCTGGTGGGATTCTTTTAAAGATCTTCTCGACGGCCCGTTTGCAACATCGATCGAATATACGGCGCGTTCCACATGACCGAGTTGTACAATTTCAGCGAACAGAGTTTGTGGGACACGCTGAATGGACGTAATTCAACGTGAAACAGTGGAATTTCGATTTTCCAAGCGGGCCCGCGAAAGCTCGAGCCTCGAGAAAAACGCGGTTGCAGTCCAGTTTCGCAGTTCGGTCGCGGTCACAGAGGTCCAAGTCCGAGTTTGGCTCAAGGATCGTTGCCAACGCTTTCGGACTCGTCGCTAAATAGCCCGACAGGAGCTTTGTACATCGTATAATTGTCTCGGCGACCGTTTTATCCGAGTTTACGAAATCGACGACGTTTACAGCAACGGCGGCAGCCGCAGTCTTTCTCTGCGAAGAGGAAGCGAGAGGGAAATAGAGAGAGAGAGAGAAGGAACGCAAGAGCGCAGCCAACGATCGACGTCGCTTTTTTGGCTTCGTCGCGTTTCAGCATTTACGTGCCTCCGTTTCGACGTATCCGATGTCTAATCTTGCGACATATTCTACTTTAACCGTACACGTAATCCGGAGCAATAGAGAGGAAACGAAGATCTTTCCCAGGCTAACGAATCCGCCACGTTTCATTGGCTAATGGGATGTTCGCGCCTCCGACACCGCGCAATACCCATTGTTTCAGACTTTTCGTAATCGTTCAACCGACCAATTCCATCGAATTTTCGTTCGGTAGACGATGTTATCTATTTGTAAGCTATCTTTGGCAATCGGTATCGCCTGCGAGAGGCTGTGAAAATTTTTAAACGATCGTCCAATGATATTCCGAGAAACCGTTTTACCTTATTTAAGAATCGGTCGAGCAAACGCCGGCGAATTAAGCGAATAGAAACGGACAGGACTGTCGGTGATCGCGTGAAATAATTAACTCGCGGATTGGCGCGTTCCCGGAACGAATCCGATTGAAATAAGTGTGTATTTCGAGTGTTACGGGAATCGCGCGATACGGCGATTAGATTGCGCCCCGATCGCTGTCTCCGCGCAATTAGCGCGGCCAGCCTTTATTTACGAGGCTTCCGCTCCGGCCGGCGAAGATCGGTAATCCGTTTTCCACGTACCTTGACTTCGTGATACCGTTCTTCCAGGTAGTACGCGATCCCCTTCGCTTCCTCGTACTTTGCGGCCAGGGCGACGTATTTGTCGTAGTGGCGCTTGAACAACACGAACCTGCGAACAGAAAACACGACACGTCGAATGTCAACCACCTCTTGATCGAAGCTGCGCGGAGAATTTTCGGCCGCGTGGCTCCGCTTTGCTCTTCGATCCGCTCCGCTCCGCGGACATCCAATCAGCCCCGGAGCGTGTTCGAGCGCAAAGGACGCGGACCCGGAAACCGATCGAACGAGTTTTATGGGAACCGACGGTCGCTTTTTCTTCCCCGGAGTCATGCTCTCGGGGGGTAAAAAAAGCTATTTGCACGATCCGAGGGTCTTTGTGCCAGTGCATCGGCACGATGAAAAGTTCCGACACGATGAGAACACGACGATCTTTGTGAACTCTTCAACGCTGGAAACTTTGCACGGCGAAGCTTCGAGGGCTTTCTCCCGTCGATATCGGATCTCTATGCATTTTTGATACTTTTTCATCGTTGAAACACGAGGAAATGTTCGAATTTAAGTTCAACGATATTTACAATTTCGTTCTGCCGTTCGACGAATATTAACCGTGAATTCGATGCATTTGTGGCAGACGTGATCAGAGGCCGTTTAAAACGGAAGACAGATTTAGATGAATCGAAGAACTTCGAGATAAGTTATTATCAACTGATTAAAACCGTATCAGAAATACGCGAAAGTTTTACATAAAATTCCTGCGCAAAATTCTGATTCCGCATAAAGATCGACAGTCGAATCGTTACGTTGCATTGCAACTGAATTTGCCTGTATATATTTAACCAGTTAGCTGTGGCGCCTCCATTTCAGAGCGCGCATCTATATGTGTCGCGAGAATCAAGCGACGACGAGTATACTCGTCGAACACAATGTAAGTGTCGCAGTTAAAATATTGGATCGAAAAGACGGTTTTATTTGATAAAATTAACAATTTTATTACTAATATTTACTTGTTCTCTTGACGTTAACATATACCATATACATAATAAACGAATAACCCAGGAATAATCGAATACTTATAAAAGTTAAAGTGGCGGGTTCCTCGGATCATTTGAAGCAGCTTCTTCCTTTACAAAAATTTTCTCCGAGGCACCGTTAACGAGTTATTAACGAAAAACAGTGACCAATGATAGGCGAGCTCAGCTGGCGCGAGGCGACCGAGCGGAACTGGGCTTCGCGCGCTGGTTGGCTGGGCCGCCTCGCGTCAGCCGTACTCGATTCTTATTGGTCACTGTTTTATCGTTAATAACTCGTTAACGGTGCCTCGGAGAAAATTTTTGTAAAGGAAGAAGTTGCTTCAAATGATCCGAGGAACCCGTCATTTCCGGATTGCGAGACATTTTTGGGACATCCTGTATAATGGCATTTTGCACGTCGAACACCAATACCGTGATTCTTTCCTAATTTTATTTTTATAACAGTGTAAACAACTTTGTGCAGGATTGGCCTCGAAATATTCCGAACATCTTGAAATTTGAGAATATGTTTTTGTCTTCCTTAAAATTACAATTCAAATAGCCAATGGTCACTACTTCTTACGCGCGACGAGTATACTCGTCGTGTCACAAAATGTTGCCATTTCTCCATGACGAGTATACTCGTCGAACACAGCTAACTGGTTAAACATTGTCGCATGAAAATGTTGAACGAATGTGCTGTCGTTGCTCGTCCGCAGCGTTCTGCACTTCGGAATCCGCTGTAATCGCACAAATTCCGCAGCGATCGCTATTGCTACTTTTATATCCAGATTACTCACGACGGAACGTTATTCGATACGTGTTTATTGTTCTTGACATTGAGGTTGTTCTTTTCTTTTTGTGCACGTTGCAATGGAATGTGTTCACGTTCGAATCGAGCAAATTCTTGTTGCGGAAGAATGTCCACTATACAACGTGTCTAATCCGTCGATTAGGTGGCATTGAAAGTGGACATTACGTCCTGAACGCCTGCGGCGAAAATGTTTACGCTCGAGGAGTCAAGGACCGCAGGTTGCGTAACGGCCTTGAAACGTTTTTGGCAACCGAGCGGTAACACCCATAGACGGGACACTCGACGACGATAAGATAAGATTATTTATTCTGCAGAAGGTTGCCAGTGTACAGTAATGGCGATCGAGATATTCGAGTCGTAGGCGCAGTTAGTATAGCAGGCTGCAGTCATTTTTCCCACTTTCAGCCTGGGATCGAAACGCGCATGCACCTGATAACATCCGAAACTTTATATTTCTCCTCCCGCGCGCATGGATCGACGGATCGTATATTAAGCTTAAAAATAAATCTTACACATGTCGTTATCGCGCGTCGATACAATAATTCACGGGTGCCGTAAACGCGCGCGTATTCGTCCGCGGACGAACCGCGAGCAATTTCTTCGGCCAGAAACGCGAGACACGTTCGAGCCACGGCGAAACACGATAAAGAGGAAACAATTTGACGATTGCTATTGCAAGAAAGGTGAAACGGACCGAGATTATGTCCGCAAGAAAATGATCATCGCGAGTAATGTTCCTCTGCGGCGTCGCGGCAGAGGTGATTGCACAGATAATCGAGGGTTCGGCGGATGAAGCTTTGAGAATCCCGACGCACGCAGTTTCCAGCCCGAGTTATTCGCAGCTTTCGAAACGGTTTAATTAAACGGCCACGCGGACAGCTATCAATTATCTAATAACGCTGCACCGCCCAGTTGAAAAACCCTCGATCGCCGCTTTCGATGTCGCGGATATAATATTATATTTGTACAGCGACTTGAATCATTCTGAGATGTTCGACCCAGTAGGTTGGTCAGAGAATGAGTGTTGAAAAAGAAACTTTAGCCTCGGACAAAAATTACATTTCCGCCGGTTCCGTCAGCGCGCACCGATGGTAATGTAAACTGTATATTATACAGGGTGTTCCACAATTATTATAACACTTTATCGACCGCTAGCCTATTTATCGGCTTTTCGATTGCCAATGCTTATCGACCGATAGCCTATTAATCGACTTTTAGCTATCGACGGTTTTCGCTTCTTTACTGTTTTGTTAGTAGCTGACCTCCTGTATGCTGACCTCCCCATATCCTTATGAATTATAATTATAATAATTATATTATTATTTATTATTATTTTTAAAGGAATAAGCACAACACAATGAATAGCGAAAATTTAGCCGGTACTGGGAGCAAATGCGCGCGCGACTAAGCTAGTCCTTACTGAGTGGCAGCCTCAACCACGACCGGACGATAAAGTGTTAACAGCCGAAAATGAGGGGTAGCTGAGGTCATTTGAGGTAACTTTTTCCTTTGCGAAAATGCGATCTGCAACTTCGTTTACAAGTTATTAACGAAAAACACTGGCCAATGAGAGGTGATGGTGCGAGAGAGAGAGAGAGAGAGAGAGAGAGAGAGAGAGAGAGAGAGTCCGCGAGAGAGTCCGCAGCACGAGGCTTTGACAGAAGGTCGGGACGAACTCGAGCCGCGTTCGAAGTATTGAACAAGTCACGAAGCGTGAACTTTCCGGAATTTTTTTTACTACGTAACAGTGATATTTTTAAGAAAAACGCTGTTCACCTTTACTTTAGAACGTCTGAAGAATATTTACTAATTTTTCGGACCCGAAATAATATGTAGTTTAACCGTGACAGCCGTTTTAATTTTCTGGTATGCATGACGCCTCATGTGTACCATATACAATTTTTATGCAAGGTGTACAGTGAAGATGAACAAAGTCCGTAAATGATATTTTAATTTAAATAATTCCGTGTCCGGTATCGTTACAGACTGTTAGTGATCCCAGTATCGCGTATACAATGTAAAACGCGATGAATGGCGGTGAATGGTGTCTTTGATTGATGGAGAAGACCACACCAAAAAGGCGAGCAGGCGATCTATAAGGCTCTATAAGCAGATCTATAGGATCTATAGATCTATAGGCGATCTATAAGCAGGCGATTTTCAGTTAGTTGAATTTGGTCGCTCAGTCATTTCGTACATATTCTTCTCATATCCTTCTCTCAAATAAAAGTAAAAATGAAACTTTTAAGAAAAAGAATTAATATCATATTCATTTGAGAAATAATCCAAGCCATAATCCCAATAATGAGTAAACAAAATTTCTTCTACGCTACAATTGCTTGAAATGATAAGAAAATGAAAAAATTATGTTATTTCAACTTTTCTGTCCGGGGTTATAACGAAAATCTAAAAAATGCGTTTTTGTAGATTTTGGTAACTCGTAAACATGTTGAAAATTTCATGGAAATCAGTTGACGCATGGTAAAGTTACAGCAACCGAAAGATATAAAATTACCATACTTTTGGTCGAAATTCGTCGAAAATTGCTATTATTCACGAATCTTAAATGTTAACAGCTCATAGTAACGTCAATCGATTTCAATGAAATTTTCAGTATGCATATTAGAAGACAGCGGATCTGTATGCAGAATAAAAATGATCTTTTTCAATTGCAATGTACACGAGTTAAACCAGTTACACAGGAATTTCTTAATAATTTCAGTGAGATTATCGCGCTTAAACACTCTTGTAATATTTTCATTGCCTCAAATTTCACCTATTCATTTTTATTACAAATGAATGGAATCCGCAGTCTACAAATTTTTGTTTACTCATTCTCTAACAAACTAGTCGACCTAACATCCCAAACATATCCAAGTCATGAGGTGCAATTTTAAAGAAGTTATTGCATACATTATAAACTCGCTGCGGGAAATAAGTCGACAGCTTTTCAAACGGAATAACTTTTCTAAAATTGGTTCAAATGACTTGAATCTTTTTGGGATGTTAGTCCGACTAGGTTGCGAGAGAATGAGTAAACAAATCGAAGAACGAATGAAGAAATGGCGTTGCTCTAACTTTTTTTTATCCGAGCCTATAACGAAAATTTAAAACATACGTTTTGTTGATTTCGGTAACTTATACGCAATGCTGAAAATTTTACCAAAATTGATTAACACAGAGTAAAGCTACAGGCGTTACAAGATCTAATAAACTGCAGATTTCTGATATTAATTGCTCGAAAGTGTCAAAAATCGGGACAAAACTGTGATTCTCGTTATCTTT